CTAGGTTACTTCTACTTTTTTAATAATTGAGCTTAATACTTGAATTTAAAGTTGTACTTTTTCACTTTTACTCAAGTATGTTTTTGACCAGACACTTGAGTGTCTGTACTTTCACTTGAGTGTAATTTTTGAGTAGCCTCGGAATAAAGACGCTGCCAGGCAACAAGTTTGTTGTAGTTACACAGCTGCGTCCATAGCAACGGAAGTGAGCTGCGGGTAATGCGCTGATTTCTGTGCTCTTTTGTGCTAAGCCGGTTTGATGATTTGCCATAACAATAAAGGCTGAAAAAATATACAAATTTAATTAGTCGGCGACAGTTTGTAAGTTTTAATAAAATGGAGATGACCGAGGAAGCGGTGAACAATGAGAGGCTGCAGGCTGCGGCGCGTTTTAAAGCTTTCATGATAAAGAACAGCACAAAAACAAACCTCAACCTGTAAGTACATCATCACATTAGCCTCATAGAGTATTCTAGTCCAAGTATTATTTTTAAGTTATTATTAAAGCACCGTTATATATCTTAACTGGTCATATATAGAGGACATTTATTGGAAGACAATGAACATGTACAAGCTCGAAACACATTACCAATTAAAAAGTAAGTTATGATACGCGTGTCGTCACAATGGGAACATGCTGTTTATTAACACTTGAAAAACCCCATGGCAGCATGCCCCGAACTTGCATTTATCTTTGCACAGTTAATGCATTAAATCTAGCTTCGTTCTTTTGACGCTTGCCTTGATGTTTCCCAGTCTGGTTTTATTGTGTTCACTATAGTTTACAAAAGCTATTGCAAAAATATAAGGATATTGCTTAAGTTTGGAGGAAAAATTTACAAAACGTGGCGTAAATTGGTTAACTTACAAACAGTGCGACAATGTTGTACAAGGAGTCCCTCCACAGCGGCAGTTTAGCAAAAAAATGTCATGACTAAAATGTACTGACTTCTGGGGTCGGTTGCATAAACTGTTTAGACTTGTCTTAAAAAGTTAGTCATCTATTTTTTTTTTCTTCAAGACTGGTCATAACTTTTTTAATTCAGTTATGAAAGATAGATTGGTCTCATTTGTATTGGAAAAGTAAGACCGATTACACCTTGGCAACTGCTAGTTGGTCAAACTTGTGACAGTCTTAACATGGTGGCTAAGTTTATGCAACTGGCCTCTGATGCACTTGAACCTCTTCGTCCAGCTATGACCACCTCGTGCGACTGTTAACCAAAGTTATGGATGAGCGTCCAGAGAACGCAGTCGATGTGATAGAGGACATGAGTCGCGAGCTGAAAGGAAGCATCCTTCCGGAGAAGCAGGACACCTTGCGTGACAGTCCGTCCTCCTCCGCAGCTCTGTTACTGGCCGAGCAACAGAAGGCGCTCTTTACGCGCGCGGCTGGTGATGAAGGTGATCACGAGGAAGATTTGGTAAGAGAGTATGTTGGTCCTGTTCCTGGGGCTCCATGTAATTTTTTTTAATTATTATTATTTTTCAATCTTTAAGACCTAACAACAAACCTTTTGTGTGTGTGTGTGTGTGTGTGTGTGTGAAATACTTGAATGGGTGCTTGTGCTATCTTTCTTTACAACAAACGCAACTTGATTTGATGTTTCTTTATCTAATGCTATCATATTCAGAGATTTTGGAGTGACTTAAAGGGATGGTTAATCCAAAAATGGAAATTCTGTCAATTTACTGACCCATATCGTTCCATACCCTTAAGACTCTGGTCATTCTTTAAAACACAAATTAAGATATTTTAATGAAACCCGAGAGATTTCTGTCCCTCCATTGAAAGTCCAGGTAACCCTAATTTAGAAGATCCAAAAAGGTCATAAAGTCATAAATTACATAAATTAAGAACTGAGCTCTTTAATCCAAGTTTTGTGAAGATATAGTTTCTTTACATGGTGAATTGATTTCATTCAGGCTTTTATTCACATATAAACACACATGCATAGAGTGCATCACATATGGTAAACAGAAACTTTGAGCTTCTGTCTTTACTATATGTGATGTGTTCTATGTAGGTGTGCTGATGATCATTGTTTCATTGTAAATAAAAGCCTAAATTAAATCTGTTAATTACAGAGCAATCATATCTCCTTACAAGACTTGGATTAAACTGCTCAATTCATATGGATTCAATTTATGACACCGTATGTTGGATCTTATAAGTTTTGTTTACCTGGACGTTCAATGGAGAGACAGAGACCACTCGAGTTTCATTAAAAACATTGTAATTTATGTTTCAAAGAGTGACCAACGTCCTAACGGTTTGGAACAACATGAGGGTGAGTAAAAGATATTTGGGTGGACTATATCTTTAAGGTTCAAATACTTTTACTTCAGGACAACTGTAGATGGCCAGTGTTGTGGTGCCTCCTATGGGCAGTTTAGTACAATACAACAGTTTCTGTAATACAGTGTTCTGTATCATTTCCAGGTGGAGTCTCCTTTACCGAATGTTGCAGAACTTGCGTTCTTCTTTGAGCAAGCTGGTGTGGATCTGGGGAGAGAGGAGATGCAGAGAGTCTTTCTGGCTTTGAAACAGCTGGTGGACGCACAGTGTCTCCTGCGCTGTCGATTCTGGGGCAAGATCCTCGGCACACAGGGCAACTACCTGGTGGCTGAGGGGGAATTCAGAGAAGGTGAAGGAGAAGAGGAGGAGGGGACAGAACAGACACATGAGGATGAGGAGAGGGAGGAAGAGGACAAGGATGAAACGGAGCTTGTGGAAGCTGTAAGTCACAAAATAGCAACTGAAGAACAAATCTGCTTTAAATATCATACTTTTTGGAGTAAAGGTGCAGTCACAGTTACTGTTGCTCGATAAAATTCTGCTGCTGTTCTGATTTCAATAGGAATCTGTCCGATCTGGAGTTTCGCATGAGGGTGACAGATTTTTCTATGCAGATTTTGCTCATTTTCAAGTTCACAGGAATTTGCAGAGCTGAACAAAAGAAAGCTGCTTGGCGTGAAAGTGAAAAGTCTTTTACTTTACTTGCAGGCTGATCCGACTCCCAAATCAACATACAAGCCACCTCCGCCAGTGCCAAAGGAAGAAAATCACACCGGTGTCAACAAATACACTTATTTTGTGTGTCAAGAGCCCGGCATGCCATGGGTCAGACTGCCAATGGTCACCCCCACTCAGATTACAGTAGCCCGGCAGATCCGCAGGTTCTTCACAGGCAGGCTTGATGCTCCTGTTATAAGTTATCCTCCCTTTCCTGGCAATGAGACCAACTACCTGCGTGCCCAGATCGCACGGATCTCAGCGGGCACGCACGTCAGCCCTCTGGGATTCTATCAGTTTGGGGAGGATGAAGGCGAGGATGATGGACTGCGAGACAGCTATGAGGAGAATCCTAACTTTGAGGGCATCCATGTAAATGAGATGGCTGAGTCTCTAAATCTATGGGTCCATCATATACAGCATATACTTACACAGGTAAGAAACAGACAGCCTGCTGGGAATTAATCTGTTTTAAAATGTCTGTGTGGATCATACGTCTGTTATCGGACTCTTGTGCATACAAAAATGTAACTGAATTATTACAATTAAAGTAACAGTCCACCGAAAATGTTAATTCTGCCATTATTTACTCACCCTCATGTCATTCCAAACCTGTATGACTTTCTTTCTTCTGTGGAACACAGAACAATATGTTTTCAAGAATGCTGGTTTCCAAACAGTTTTGGTTCCCATTGACTTCCATTGTATTTTTTTGTCACGTAATTAAAGTCAATGGTAACCAAAACTGTTTAGTTACCAACATTCCTAAAAATATCAACAAAGAAAAGTCATACAGGTTTGGAATGGTATGAAGGTGAGTAAATAATGGCAGAATTTTCATTTTTGGGTGGACTATCACTTCTGATTTCCTAGTGGCACACTAAAGCAAAAAATACGAATAACCATATTTTTTGGGGGAGAAAATGTGCACAGTACTGTACATGTGTGAATGTTAGGGCCGCTGTGTGTGGGTAAATGTAACTAAGAAGTCTGCGGATGATGTGGATGAAGATGCCGAGGAGGAAGAGAGGGAGGAGGAACCTGATGAGCTGGAGCCGGAAGTCGGGCCTCCTCTTCTGACACCTGTGTCCGAGGATGCGAGTCAGTCACACTGCATAACATTTACATTAAACACCTCCAGCACAGTTTAAATGTTGAACTCTAATGCAGAATATGTTCTGCCCACAGAGATGAATGACACCCCACCTTGGAGCTCAATGATCTCCACTAATCTCATTCCTCAGTTTTCCACCGCTGTGCTGCGCTCCAACCTCTGGCCTGGATCTTATGCTTATGCTAGTGGCAGGTAAGAACCTTGCTTTTCAAAATGTACTGTCTGTTCAACAATTTCCATCAAACTGATACGTTTTCTGCTGAGGCAAACCATTCTTCTGCTCCCTCTCAGGAAGTTTGGAAACATATACATTGGTTGGGGGATGAAATATATTGGAGAGGCATACACCCCAACCATTCTCCCACCACCCCAAAATGAGTACCCCAGTGGGCCTGAAATCACAGAGGCCCTGGACCCCAGTGTGGAGGAAGAGCAGGCTTTGAAAGCTGCCCTGGAGGAGCAGACGGCAGCCCTGGATGAGACAGAGGATCTGGAAGATGAGGAGGAGGATGATTGAAACAGACAAAAATAAACCTGCTTCAGAAGGTGTGTTGATGGTCAGATTCTTAAAGTTTTATATGTGCAGTTCCTTAAACAATCCATTTCGATCTAAACACTGTCTTTGTATGTATGCCCACATCGTTGAAATATTAATACTCAACAAAAATGGAGGGAATCAAATAATTTATTAGCTTTTTTAATTTAACATAGATCTGCTTGCCTCCGAACATTATACTTTGTTACACTTCATTTTTTGATACATTAAGCTTATTCTGCCATGCTTTTTCCATGCTTAAGTTCCTGTATTGGTTCATGACTAGTCATAAGCATCTGAACATGTATGTAGATGAAACTGTCAACACAAAAAGCACTGAATTGCAAAATTTTATAACTTAATAAATAAGAAGCCTAATAATTCAAGTTTATTTTAGATAACAAACATGACTTTAATTTATGAGCCTATTGTAATACATCAATAAATTAAACTCAGCTGATATTAGCTTAAGAAGAACTAAAACATTTTCATGCCAAGCTGGTTCCTCAGGTATTTCATTTACTATACATGATAAACAAATTGCACAATTAACCAGTCCACCTTCAGACAGAGTGGAAAGAAGACTGATTAATCCTCACATCCTAGAGTCCTGCGAAATACATTACCATCATGCAGATTCACTCTTCTTGTGTTGGTTCAAAAAAACAAAATCATTTAAGCTAAATGTTTTATCATTTTTTTTAAATAAGTTATTTCATTTAAGATCTAACTGAAGGAAATTACGTGATTATTTCCTCCACAGAGGAAAACGAAGATAGCAATTAGTACTGTTTCAGCTGATTCAAGCTGATCATCACAGTTATAGAATTTTGCACAAATCTAGAATTATCTTCACTAATAAATACTACTAATAAATATTGACACATACAAGCCTTGTGACTTGGTCAGTAACAAATGAAAATCAAATGATCATTTATAACCATTAATAAAAGAATAATAAATAAAGCAACTACTGAAGCTGCACAAGCATGAACGCAAATAGTACCGCATAAATTAATCAGATATACGAGGAGTTGCATTTACAACAAAGGAACATTGTGGTCATAGCTTGTAACATAAATTCTACCCAGTGTCATTCTAGAAGACTTCACAGTGTTCTTTGGGATAAAAGTTAAATTTATTTAGTAGGATTTGGGATGTGTATAATGCGCACGTGACCTTTACCAGTCATAAGGGCCAATTTTTCGAAATTGAGATTTATACATCACCTGAAAGTTGAATAAATAAGCTTTCCATTGATGTATGGTTTTGTTAGGATAGGACAATATTTGGCCGAGATACAACTATTTGAATATCTGGAATCTGAGGGTGCAAAAAAAATAAAAATATTGAGAAAATCGCCTTTAAAGTTGTCCAAAT